GACGATCGAAGAGGGATTGGAAGCAGAAGGAGAAATCGATTTGNGAAACGTGGCGGGGGAGTAAATGAAACGAGCATAAATATAAAAATTAATCTTGACTGCCATTTTGTCGGCCGAGCGGCCCCCGATGCAGCCACTTGACAAATGGTTACCAATATCGGCCCGATCCAAAGATATTTATGTAAGCAGTGCGCGATGCTCGACCGCGCGCGTACAACGCTCTAGCAACCGGAAATGGCTGTATTAATCGATCGATAACGCCTCCTTTTTTTAGAGTTACGCGCCCGAATAATGCATCGCTGGATTCACACATATCGTACGTAGGATTCGAACAACAACGACCAAAGTTGGAAGGATATTACTTCTTCGTGTTTCTTAATGAGAAAATTCATTTTGAAGAATTCGCTTCTTTTTTCTTTTTTTTTCTTTCTTTTTCTTTTTGGTTCCGAAGAAACAAGATACTTGCGTCGTTGATGTAAAACGATCAATCTTTATCTAGTTGTTTCGTAACGAAACTGCTTATAAAGTTTCTTTCTTTTGTCCCGAAATAATGGAATAATGGAATATTATCGTCAATCTTTCTTAACGAGAAGATCGTTCGAAGGGATGGAATTGTTGTTCTCTTCTCTCGATTCCTTCGTCTCTAAGCAAAATAATTCGGCGATCGAATGGACTCGAATTTTATCTGTCTCGTTAGAATTTAATTCGTCGGGAGGAGGACGACAGGATTCCTCGAAATCTATCAAATCAAATGTCATAAAGGGTAAATCCTCGTGTTGAATATTCGTGTTCCTTTTTTTTCTTTAACGAGAAAATCGTCGTTATTCCCTTTCTCTCGAGGTTCCCTTCGTTCCTCTTTTCTTTCTTTTGACTTTAAACAAAATAATGCAAAATAATTCCACGGTCAAGTGGTCACGGAGTTTTTACCGTTTTTACCGATAGGAACCTAGCCTTTCTCCACCACTTGTCCGATTCTCGCTGGATAATCGCGAAAAAACGACAATGAGAGGCGGAGGAGGGTTAAGTGGCCGACGACTCTCGAGCGTCCCGATCCCTTTCCTCGTCGTCTCTCTATCGCGTACAAACGTTGACCCACGAAAATGGTGGAAGGCGATCGCGAAACGATAGAACTTCCCGTACCTTTCAACCTCAAAGCACTCTATTTCCCTTTCTCTCCCTCTCTTTCTCTCTCTCTTTATTCCATCTCGCGTACCGTTTCACCTCTTTGCTCAGAGGTCCAGGAGAAGCTGGAGGACGAAACAAAGCTCGACGCTGCCGAATCGAGCTTTCGTCGCTCGTTTCTCTGTCGATGCAAAGATTCAAGAGAGAGAGAGGGAGAGAAAGAGAAAGGGTAGAGAAAAAGCTGCAGTTTTTCGCGGACCAGCCGCGATTGTGCGGTTTCGAGTCGCGTTAAAGCGGCTCCTTTCGCCATGATTCGAGCCCTTGCCTCGAGATTTCGACCGTTGGATGAACGAACGAGGTATATTGGAGAAAGTAGCCCCTTTGTTTTCACGCGAATAATGCCGCGTGTGATCGGATTAAAGAATGGAGCGCGCTTCGAGTCGAGGGTAAATCGAATTTTTAAAGCATCTGTTCGTAGATCGTATCGATGATGCTTATAACTCTCGTGAAAATTTTTGTAATAACCACCAATCGATCGAAGAAACACTTTTCCTATCGCTTTTACACTTCCTTTTCCGAAGGATTAAATTAATTATAAATCCTCTTGAAACGTTGCTGCCGATTTCGATATCTTTCCAACGTGTTCTCGAGAGTATCTAAAACTATATATATAGAAAGCGTAAAAGCATGTCTAAATTGTAGAATTAAATTTCATTGGAAATCCTCAAATCTTCAAATAGAAGAGAATAGAATGATATGGAGGAAATAAGAATTGGTTAATTTGGTTAAAAGTTGAAGAAGACGGACAGATAAACGAAGGACGAAAGAAATCCTTGTTACTGTCTCTTCTTTCTTTTCTTTTCTTTTCTTTTTTTTTTTTCCATCACTTACCTTGCCAAAAGTAGTTCCAACTTGCGATACAGCTCTCTTCTGCTTCGACGATGATAATCCTTGAACTTGTTGGACAGGGTGCTCTTCGAGGGCAGCTCCCATGCCTGGCCAGCCGTCAATCCGATGTTGAACATTCCTCGAGGCTTGGAGTAAGTAGTGATGGTCATGCAATACACCAGCTGCGCACGAATCGAACGATTTCGAGATCGAATCGAGAGAATGGCTTCTCGGGAGGAATATCGCGCAGATCTGGTTCGATGGTTTCTTTACTGGCTGTGCAGATTCTATATATGTATATATATATATATAGGAGCATCGAGTGAAGGAGGGAAGAAGCGACGGTGTGCATTCCTGGCATGTCGATTCCAACACTTCACTCGGAAATCTTGCAACATACTGAGATATACGATTTTCCTCCTCGAGAAGGGAGACGAAACGCGATGTAAATTGGTGGTGGTAACATTCGTTATTGCTATACTTTGCACGTGTTTGCATACGTGATCATTTATATATTCTATCACCCTATATTCTAATGGATCGAGAATGGAATATGACAAAAATCGAACAACTGTTAACCGATTAACCGTATGCAACCAGCAACAACCCTTCATCGTGAAAACGACGTCGTTATCGAGGGTGATCCCATTTTCGCCGCAGTAAACTAGACTTAAAAAAAGAGCAAGGGCAGGGAGGATGGGAAGGATGGGAAGGAGCAGAGGTGTCGATGAAAATTCCAGGGTGAAAAGATGCCGACAGCAATTGGGAGATTGGAGGCGGCTTGTCGTCGTCGTCCCTCGATAAAACGTCGTCCAAGTGGTTCGACGAGTCGGAAGCGACGAGGGGAAGGGGGCGAGAAATTCGTTGCTCGCGATGGAACAGCAAATTGTCGGCGTCAAAAACTTTACTTTTTTCACGCGCCCCCATCGATTCCAAAACGTTAATCCCCCCTCCCCTCCCGTTCGAATTTCCGCGTTCATCATCATCAACGCGCGTTTCATCTCGGCCAATTACTCGTTGGGAGTAGCAGCACCACGCCTCTTCCCTTCCTCCTTCCACCCTACCCTTTTAGCGCTTAAATTTTCCATGGCTCCTCCGCCGCCCTCTCCACGAAACACTCGAGGACTCGCGAAATGCACGTTTCCTCGTGGAGCCGGGGCCGCTTATTAGAAATTATTAGGGCGTCGTTTGCATCGCAACTTCCGCCAAGTTATCCAGTTAACCGGAGGACAGACGGTGCATGCACCATTCTGACGTCGTAACCGAGTTTTCCACCATGTGAACGAAGGATGGTCGAGTAATTTCACCGAGGGAGAGAGAGAGGGAAATATATACTCACTTGAACGTTGCTTCCTTCTGGAAACACCAAGTATTCCCCCTCGAATCCTCTCTTCCATCGTTCGATATTCCTGTTCTCGACAGACTTCTCGCACCAAGTCCAAGCATCACGGTTTAAGATCCACAGGGTAAAAAAGAGTAGAAGACGCATGGCGGTCGAGCGAGGAGAAATTGGTCGACGCAGGAGAATTCGGCGAACTGGCTCGCTCGCAACAGAGAGAGAGACGTTAAGTGAAATACCGGAGATGATACAATTATTAGACCGTTTAGCGTTTTACGGTTTAGAAGAAGGGGTCGTTGAGCCCGCTTAAATTAGCCCGTTAAAATGTACCCAGTGGCGATCGTGTTTTGATCGTACACTCTCTGGATACTCACACGCTTACACGGTTCGTGGAACTCTATCCTATAAAGGGCGATTGGTAAAGGAGATTGTGTGCTCGTAAGAGTCGCGTTTTTCAATCTTTCACGGACAAATTACTGTGTCGCTGCATCGGTTGCGAGAGAGAAAGAGAGAGATCCGCTTAATCTCTATTTGCCGTTCCCTCATCCTCAATCTCGTGAGAAAGTACGACAGGGATAGCATCGAAACCTTTTTTCGAGAAATCTTCGAAACGTCGTTAAAAAGACAGTTTGGATCGAACTTTTTCGAACAATTTGAAGAGTAAAGGAAACGCATCAAGTTTCTGGAATTTTTTTCTTTTTTCTCTTGCTAGCAACCATCGAAATTATTCGTGTATATATATATATATATATATATATATATATAAAACTCTGCAGGAAACGCAGGTTAAAAATTAGAAGGTATCCTGGTGAAATATTAATCGACATCGGTGCACCGAAGCGGGCCACGTTGAATAAATAACGGCAAAAATGGATTTTCACGTGGTGGTAGTCGCATAAATAGCAAAGTTCGCGCGAAGAGAGTTGGTGCCAGAAACGAATTAATAGAAATAGGAGGAAAGATCGCGCGGGTCCGAGCGCTCGCCAAGTAATTAGAACGATGGGGATCGGTGATCGTCCTCCCCTCCTCCTCCCCCTCCTCCCTTTCCTCCTTTCGAATCGCTGCGAAATTTCACACCGATGGCCAAAAATGTAATT